GGCCGGGCACACTGACCGATTCTAGAGTGTACTCACTTTTTGAGTACACAAAAATCGAAATTTCAGTGATGATTTCGATTCATTCCGATTAATTTCGATTTTAATCGATTAAAAATTCATGGAAAAAATCGATTTTAATTGATTTCTGTGGGTGATTCGTGCACAAATCTTCAGCTGATTTTCATCGATTTTCATCAGTTGTAATCGATTTTCTTCATGGATTTTTAATCGATCATAATCGAAATTAATCGGAATTAATCGAAATCATCACTGAAATTTCGATTTTTTTGATTATTTCTGATTAAAAATTGATTAAAAGGTATATGATTTTAATCGTTTTTTAATCATTTTTTAATCGATTTTAATCTGATTTCATCCCTCATTTTTTTTACATGGGTGACTAACAGATGAACAACCACATGTTGTTTGATCGCATTCATATACAATCCCAAACGTTCGATAAGTTGCGCACACAAGTATAAGTATTACGAAAGAAACGAGCATCTTGCATATACAACCAACCAGCTCGCTTTCTGCAATTAAAATGATGGAATCAAAAAGACACAGATAGATAAGAACCTCGGTAACCAGAAACCATGACCTTTTGTTTTCTATTACTAATCAAATGATTCTGACCATGTCGTGTTATTTGATCTAGAGGATGATAAGATGAGTTTAGAATAGAAAAATGATGTTCTATACTAAAGTAATGAAAATTTTATCATAGAATGTCATTGCTGATTGTGTATTGTGAAGGATTTACACATACTACGCCACTTGTTTGAAAGCTTGCCAAAGAATTAGAGAAAAGAAGTCCTACAGCTGATGCAGAATTCAAAAATGCTTTTCTGACTTACACATTACTGAAAAGTTTCTAGCTCTTCTACAAACCTTGCCAATGTGCTGAGTGCAATAGAAAATTAGAATCTTCAAATTAGTTCTGCAGACTATGGAGGAAGATGGTATTATCTTAATGGAATCATCAGTGAAGTTGAGAATGAAGAGAATGGAATTCATAATGAGCCAGTCCTATCCTATATGTTACATGCGGACACCGGTTTGTCTTCTCAGTTGTAATGCAGACTTCCTTGTCCACATTTCTGAAAACCATGTAAACTACTATAGGGATATTAACTTTCGAACATTTCATAATGCCTGAATTTGGCAAAAAATTCTGCTAAAACCGTAATGGAAGATATCACTTCGGTATGTTCCACTTGAAAATTCTCTAACTAATCGGCAGTATACATAAATTCTCTCTCACGCTGCTCTTAATAGTACGAGATATGTAAAAGTTTTTCGAACTTTAGAATGATCTGAAGAATCAGACGTGAAAATAGACTCATTCAAAGCTTTTGCTCTATTAACAAGTAACGCTCATCGCTGCGGCTCGCTTGACCCTCGACTGAATTCGATCCAATCATTATATTTAGGGCAGTCTAAAAGTAGGGGCAAAAGCACTTTATACTGTATAGTAAGCTGTAGAAAACTTTCTTTCCATATAGTCTCATAGAGAAAAGAATGCTCTATTTTTCTACGCTGTTTGACACAGATGTAATAATACCAATACGCTGGGTAACGACAAACTACAGGTCAAGATATACAGAAGAGCAATCATCTCATTATTCTGTCTTTCACCATACAGTTGTATACTTAAGAATTTTGAGTACTTTTGGTGTCATGAGATCTACACTCCAGTGGATACTGCAGTAAATAGGCATACCGCTAAACTTGACGATTCAGGGAATTTCGGGTATGCCCGTGACTACTGTATAGTATATAGCTTTACGTCATCGTGGAAAACTCTCCGTTAAATATAGGATGAAATAAAATATTTTCCAATATACTCAGGTGCCGCTTTCTTGGGACAACGTGAGCAAGTTTATTTTTATTCAGCGCTGTAAGGGTGAGGACAGGGACCTTTTAATAGCGTCAGACAACGTAAGGGTGTGGGCAGAAATATTCTGATCACATGTCGGAAGATGAGCATGAGGGAGAAATCTTTGTATCACATCTCGCAACCGGAGGATGAGGGCAGCAGGTTTTTAATCACTTTAGAGAACATCAGAGTGACCGCAGAAATATTTCCATCAAATCTGGCAAAATGAGGGTGAGGGCAGAAGCTGTTTTGTCGCATAGGACAATGTGAGGGTGAGGGCAGTCATGTTTTGATCACTTGACGTAAGATAAGCGTGAGGGAGGAGTTTTTCCATAACATCTCGCAAGATGAGGGTGAGGACAGAAGCCTTTTTCATCGCATTCGAGAAAATTAGGGTGATGGTGAAAATATTTCTACCACATATGGCAAGATAATGGCGAGGGTAGAAACGTTTTTATCGCGGCTCGCAGAATGAGGGTGAGAGGAAAAGCCTTTTGATCGCATCAGACAACATCGGGGTGATGGCAAAAATCTCTCCATCACATCGGGCATGATAAGATTTACACCAGAGACCTTTCCATCGGATCTGACAACGTGACTAGGAGGCTCCTAATCTTTTCCTCCGATCTCACAAGGTGGGACTGAGACAAGAGACCTTTTGATCACACCTCGCACTATCTTCAAAGAGAAAGTGGAAGTTGGCTTCCATCGTACTGCAATATCAATTTAAATTAACAATATTCTTATAACAGTGCAAAGCGTGAGGGCGCAGGTTAGCAGAATACGTCGGCGTCATCTAGTTACGGACAGAAAACTGCAATATTTGCATCTGAGAAGCTTCCGACGACATCCAACTGACCTAGAGGACGGCCCAAAACCCATCAACCAATTGTATTCTGCCTCATATTCCACTAATTTCTACAGCATGGGTGAGATCCAAAGGCATGAAGCTTCACATGTGCGACACAAGTTCGAACAATGCATACTTGAAATCAGATGTCGATCGAGCAACGTTCACCTCAAGTGCATAGGTATATCACCGGTAGCAACTATCTCCTTACACAAAAACTACTTGACATTTTTACCTTTTGAGGTGCCTAGATAATTTTCCAGTGTTCGTCCAGTTACACCAAAAGTACTCAACATTTTTAAGTTTCAGCGGGTGGGTGTGGGTGTGGGTGTGGGTGTGGGTGTGGGTGTAGGTGCGGGTGTGGATGTAGGTATGTGTGGGTGCGAGTGTGGATGTAACCGAACAGAAGACTCACATCCAGACCAACACTCACACGCACACCCACACCTATCATAACCGACGATGCGAACTTAGCCACAGGTTGATTGACATGTTTTTTCATCTGGTTTTTGTCTGAATTGAAGAAATGAGTGCACCAAGATTAGTCATTATACAATTTTCTTATCCTTTACTTTGCTATCACTAAAAAAGCAAATTTTAGGTTGAAAATGATATTCGTTTCTTCATTTATATGTCATAGGCAACTAATAAATATATCAATAGCTCGAACTTTTAATAAACGTAAGAAAAGGAGATTTGTCGAAAATAAGATCCAACGAGAATTTTTATCTTACGATTTAACATTAGAGTTAAGTGTTTGGAAGCTAGAGCTAATCATAAGACAAGACGAGCAATCAGACTGATGTAACTTTTACCACTGAGTTTTAACTAATAGTTATCTTCTAGTCCGATCATATTAAGATATTAAATAATGCGAACATAGAAAAAAAAGACCATTTCCTAATATTAGATGTGAAAATTCTGCTGTTATGTTATATTATACCCGTTCTTTTCAAGTCATTCCTTATTCTTCCAGGAGCTTAAATGATGATGATGTTTCAATGATTGTTTTCGGCTTGTATTTATTTAAGCAATAAAAATATTGAAATGAGCAATAATTAAAATACGATTTAGCAATATTTTTTCAGCAATAAGAAAAATTTATTTGAGCAATTTTTATAATATTAAATCAACAATAAATAATTCATTAAATAGCAGTAGTAATTTCATATTTTAACAACAAAAGAAAAAGAGAAACTACAGGATGGGTGTAGGTGGGTGGATTTGGATAAAATCAATACTGATATACGCATCCACGCCACCCATACCTACTCGATATCTATATTACACCACTGGTTACGATTGAGCCATTTATATAAATAATGTATTCTATTTTATCGAATTGAAAAAATACTTATTTGTATAAATAAATGCGTCAATATTGTCCTTGTTATATACAATTTATTTTTTATTTAAATGAATTATTGCTCATTCAACATATTTATTGCTCACTCAATATATTTATTGTTCATTCGAATATAACTATTGCTAAGTTTGATTATGGTTTACTTAAATTATTTTATTGCTCAACTAAATATAAGTCTTTTATGATGATGAATTTGAATAATGTCATCTGATGAGACCTTTAAGCAAGGTCGAAATCGATCATGGCTGCCTATTTATCGTTCAAAAATAAGGGTCTTTTTTTGTCATAGCGATATGGATCGTAAAAGTTATCTGCTGACTCTGAACTTGAATCGAATTTTTTTATTTTTCCACTATAAGTAAAGGACAGTGGGATGCTTTGATGCCGCAAGAATCAACCTAAATATCTTTAGTTTTTCAGAAAGTAGAAATTAGAATGTCAAAAACGCCACAACGCTACGTTTTTACAAGTTGCCTAGACATTATTTATATGGGACCTCTAAGAATACATTATCCACACAACGGCTGTTTTGTGTGTTTGAAATCAACAAATAATTGAATATATTATAATTTTCTTTTTCTATATGTCATAGAATTTGGATGACTTCAATATTTAACTAACTGCTATCAGATAAAATGAAATACTCAATAAATAGCTGAACATATTATTCGTATACATCACATATTTATTGAACATTAATCAATCAAAAAGAAAAAAAGTGTTGTACCACGTGAGTCAATCATTTTCTGTTCATAAAATGTGAATATTTATGGGTTTTTCACAAGCGAGTGCTGCACTAAGGTGTGATCACAGTAATAAACACTTAAGATACAACACCCTTTTGATCAAATGAATATTTTCAAAAACTAAAAATTTGACAAAATATTCTTGAAAAGTTGAGAAGCATGTATTATAATTGGTTTCATCTAATCATACTTTATTATTTGATTCATCAATGTTTGCCATGCGTTTTTGTTATTAATACAGGAAACCAAGTTCAAACACAATCTTATGACTGTATTCCGTATACAAATAAAGTTTATAATTTACAATCAATAAAATATTGTATTCGAACAGATGGATTAATGGAGCTAAAACGAACAATGAATAAGGACACTGATTGCTTGAATAATGGAAAAAAATACAACTTTTATTCATTAAAAACACATGGTATAGAACCCATGGAAATTTTGAATTGGAATTCAGGGATCGAATTAGCTGATTCCTATGCAGCATATTTAAATAGGTGAGATTAATACCATTTTGTAACAATACTTTATAAGACATCGCGAATAAAGTATGGATTTATTTGTTTTTTCTTTATGTATTGTTAGAAGGACAAGGGGGGAAAGGCATACTTCTCGGTACTTCTTGATACTTTTATACTCCTTTGTACTTCATGTATACATAGATATGTGCAATGTTGATGAAAACACTGAAATATTGACATTGTTGTCACCGATGGTGATACTCAGTGGATACCGATGACTTCAGTACCACTGCTTGCTGGAATCGTGATAGCACTGACACTGACGCTCACTGAAGCATTGATACACTCAGTAATACTGACATCATCTGGCACATTGATTTCACTGGCATCAGTGTTCAGTGGAACGCTGACAGACTACCTATGTCAAAGTATTCATCGTTTGTACTTTACCTTCTAATTATTAATGGAAAATGGAACGAGCACATCTATCTTTCTCGAAAATATCGTGAATTTTTGCGTGTATTAACACAAGAAGTAGATGTGATGATTTACTTTGAAATCTTCCTCATATTCAAAATTATAGTTAGCGGAAATTCACTATGTCTGCGAGAAAGATAGATGTGCTCGTTCCATTTTTCCATTAACAATTAGAAGGCAAAGTACAAAAGATGAATACTTAAATATAGGCGGTCTGTCAGTGTTTAACTGAACACTGATGCCAGTATCACTGAATATGTCAATGCTGTAGGAAGCGCCTGTGTCAGTGCTATCATAGTTTTAGTGAGCAGTGCAACCGAAGTTGTTGGTGACGTCAATGATCAGTAAACTGAAACTGCATATTCTTACGTGTACAGAGATATGCCTTTTCTCCCTTGTAGAGTGATTAGAAATAGTCAAATTTACTAGAACGAGCATACTTTGAAGTACAAGAAGGACCCGGTTTACAAAATTTACTAATTTATGAGAAGACATTTGCTAATAAATCGAATCGCTTTAACAGCCGCTTTTAGTTTTGCCATTTAAGAGTCATTGTCTGAGAAAGACAAACATTACCGAACAGGTGCTTAAACTGGCATTCTCAAATTTGGTTGAAATTATCACCATAGATACTAGACCGCAAACTTCGTTATTAAAAGATTTTAGATTTCGAAAGTGTTCTCTTCAAACGCTATAGGTGCCGCAAGTAAATCGGGTCAAACATGTGAAAAAGCCGAATTTTTCACCAAAAATGCATTTTTTCCGAAATTTTACATCAGAACAGGACAAAATTTCTCCTACGTATTTCTATTATGTTAGGCAAACTGTAGCTAGAACAAAGTCATGAAAAAGATCTCCGTTTGAATTTGGTAACGATTTTAACTAGTATCCATTTTTGGAAACAAGGCGGTCCGAGAGAATGCCAATAACTTTTGAAGGAAACGTCATAGACAGCTGTGATTTTCATCGTTTTGTAGAGCACAGCAGGGCACATAGTAGCACCAAATATCAGACCTATAGATAAAGTTTAACATAGGATATACTTCTCTGCAATATTCATGACGCTCTCGTTTCCTAATAGTACGACGAGTTTTGATTTTCAAATAGTGGGATCGATAGTCCAGATCGAGATCTACAATTCTAGAGCAACCCCAGATCTCCATCTCACACGGTTCAAAAGTTATAGGCATTCATTCGAAACACCTTCTCTCAAAAAATGGATATTAGATCTTGATCTGGGCTATCAATCTCACTATTTGAAAATCAAAACTCATCGTACTATTAGGGAACGAGAGCGTCATGAATATTGCAGAGAAATATATCCTATGTTAAACTTTATCTATAGGTCTGATATTTAGTACTACTATGTGCCTTGCTGTGCTCTACAAAATGATGAAAACCGCAGGTCTCTATCATATTTTCTTCAAAAGTTATAGACATTCTCTCGGACCGCCTTATTTTCAAAAATGAATACTAGTTTATTGAATGGAATAGATGGCAGTCTGTGTATCCATGATAAAAACTTTCAGAAAAAAGTGTCTGATATCTTTTGACTTTCCTTGATCGAAGAAAGAAACTGGTTTCATATGCTTAATCTATATTCATTAATTTGAATTTTGATTAGTCTTGTCATTGACTGTGGTCAAAGTCTGTCCTCCTCATAGCGATTTCTATGAAAACGATTTCTAATTTTCCTTAATTTCTTTTAGTTTCACTAGAATCTCCACGGGCAGAGTAGGTTTCCATTTATCTCGATCGTTCCATGATGTGAGACAATTCTTCATTGCTGAGAGAAATCTTATGTATTCTCTATACCATTGTAGTGTAGGTTTATATTCTAATTATTTCAACCAGTACTCTTGAAGTAGGCAGGGTATCAATTCATATATTCTCCACTATACCATTGGAAATTTAATTATTGATTCTAAAAGAATGTTTTCGGATTTGTAGATAAGCGGCCCGTGGTCGCTCAATCCAAACTCTAAAGTTTCTCCTGTTATGCCGATGAAGTTGGTGAACGTAAAATCGATGCTCTGGGAAGAACGTTTAGAGGAATTAGTTGTACATTGGATATATTGTAGATTGTTATCTGCACTTCAGTTTTTGATCACTTTTCCTCTTCTATCAGTTACTGGACTATTCCATTGCATGACAGATGCGTTAAAGTCTTCGGCTATGATTGTATTTTTAGTAATGAATGAAATAATCTCATTAATGTCTCGTTTGTGACTATTCAGCCAATATAGGGTGTGAGTGTGTATTTGATGCATACGTATCCACATACTCACACCCACACCCTACGTTTGAACTCAGTCAATCTTGGGTTTTGATAGTACCATATAGGAAACTGAAAATTTTAAGTAAAATTTAGCAGAAGTTTTCCTTAAATTGTATTCTGAATGTCCATTGATTCATACTGATTTGGGAACAGTGGTTGGTGACTTATTAATCAGCATCAGTGCTCACATGTATGCGAAAGAACCAAATTGTGCACATACTTGGTTCGGAAAGATAAACATAGCAATCAGTGATGACGATGAGAACCACTGTTTTCATATCAGCACGAACCAGTGCCCTAGAAGAATACATTTTAAGAAAAATTCCGGCTAAATCTTACTTAAAATTGGAAGGTTTCTGTGTTTTACTAACAAAATTCAAGTTTGATCGAATCCAAACTCAGTCTTGACTTTGATCTGCGTCATTCTCAGATTGGACAGAATCAGAGTTTGGAAGCTGATGTATAAAGAGCGGACCAGAAGTCTTGACCGAATTTGAAGGCGGATGAGTACTTTGATGCAGAAATTTATTCTTTCATCCCAATAGCAACTTTTAATTGTTGAATGAAGAGGAGGAGTGATTTATTCCCACCTGACCGTAAATGTTTGAAAAGAAATGGTTAACTTCATCATGATTTTGTTACAAAAGAACACTGCTTTATCTATTAGGCAAAGCATAATACAGGCAGTATCTCACTTCTTTTATCCCTTGTTTAACGTATTTGATTTTTAGCTTGCGTCACAATGCATTTAGTTATGATGATTACGGTTAAGATAAATTCTTATGCAACTGTACAAAAGTTGGTATATTTGGTAAATTTTGTGAATATAATTTTATGAGTAATTCAAGTTTTGAAGAAATAATTGAACATCAATATAATTGAAAAACGGAATATTATTTGGGAAGTCAATATGTTAGAAACCGAACATGCTATAAAACTTTAACATGTAATTTTGGATTATTATGTCTTGATTGGAGAAACATATGTGATGGTGAACAGCAATGTTTTGATGGTTTGGATGAAAATAATTGTGAATTATTAGAATATAATGAATGCCAACCTAATGAATATCGATGTGAAAATGGACAATGTATTGATGAAGAATTCTTTTTAGATGGTGATATAGATTGTATGGATCGTTCTGATGAACAATACAAAATCTTATCACAATTTCATATTGTATTTACAACTTGTGGATTTAAACCGGATTTTAATTGTGATGAATTATTATTACCAAGAAAAGACTTCTCTTGTGGTGATGGTGGACTCTACCCAGATAGAGTTATATTCCATAGAGAGTTATTTGACGGTGATCATTGTTTTAGTTTTAGGGATAAAAATTTTATGTGTGAATTAGATAAATATGTACCGATGTGGACGATGAATAATGGACAGTGTGTACTCTACGGTCGGTTAGAAGGTAACAGTACGAATGATATATGTTTATTTTTGATTAAATGCGCATTAAACAATGGTCAAGGACTCGGATGTCCTTGTAATGGTCAAAATTGTAAAAATATTATTATACATTATGGTTGTACAATAGACGATGGATATGTTGAATATCCTAAAGGAGGTATATTTGCTCCATATGTAAAAATATTTTATAAGTTGGAAAATCTTCATACGAATAAACAACCGGATAATTATTCATTTACTGATAGTGTTAAATGCATCGGATGTCAAGCTTATGCCAAAGAACTATTTCTACTAGACTATGATTCTTATACATATGCTACTTCCTCTCACTAGCGTCCATTCGAACAAATATTTTGCAGCATAAGTTATGCATAATTTTTTATTCGTAATTCATCAGGTCCACAATACGATCAAAACTGTTGGAATAATTCGTATAAATCGTTCAAATGTCCATATTCTGATCGATGTATATATATATATCGTGTAGCTGATGGAAACGTTGATTGTGAAGTAAATGATGATGAACCATTTTTAACGAATGGTGCATATTTTGCTCCCGTAAATTGTTCATCAATTCAAAAACATCGTTTTCGTTGTTCAATAGAAGAATCATCATGTTTTTTAAGTTCAAATATTGGAGATTCTGTTCGACATTGTATCACAAATAATCGTGATGAATATTCTGTTGAAATGGAATTAAAATTATCAAATAGTCTATGCACAGTTAAAAATTCTGTTGAAAGTACATTAGTGAAAAAATATATCGAGCAATCGTCATCGCTTATTTCATTAACAAACACAACAGATAATAATACAAATATAAATTTGGCATTATTATCTTCTAAATCAATGTTATTTAGTCAATATTGTGATACATTTTGGGATTTAATATTAGGTTTTGATGAAACATCATATTTATGCAAAGAATGGATTTGTCCAAGTAACTATTATCAATGTTTGAATGGACAATGTATTCCATTGGATTGGATTTGTGATGGTGAATGAGATTGTAGTGATGGAAGCGATGAAGAAGGTTTATTATCAATAATTAAACTTTCACAACATAATTCCAAAATAATAAATTTGAATAAATTGAAATTAGAATGCCTACAAGAACATTATATTCGTCCATTTTCCAATATTTGTACTATTTTTGAATATCCATGTATATTAGCCAATGTTGAAGATCCATTTAATTTTACTGAAAATCGACCATGTATAAATGTTAGTAAAATAGGCGATGGAAAATCTGATTGTTATGGTGGATTAGATGAACGAAACGTTCGTAGTTGTTCTTTACAACGAATGTTAGGTTTTGAATTTGAATGTCAAGCTGAAAAACCTCAAGATATTGCTGATAGTCATTGTATTCCATATGGTGACCAATGTAGTCTTCGTTGTTTAAATGGTGAAGACGAAACATTATGTTTTTATTTAAAAAATAATTCTAGAATTCGTTGTGATGGTTCAATGGCTACGGAAGCAGAATCGTACAAAGACGTTCATTGTCTTAATGATACATGCATACCAAATGCAAGATGTAATGGAATTTCTGAATGTTTCTATGGTGAAGATGAATACTATTGTAGCAAAGAATCAGCAATATTTACAAAATATCGAGGCTTTAAACATCGTTACATGAATAATATTCTACAAACAGTTAATCTACCGAACTATTCAGAAAAAGTTGATGAAACATTAAACCAAGATCAAATTATACGGCATATAAAAGATCGTGATTACAGTAATCATTTTCTTCAAAGTTCACCTAATCTATCCTCTATTATTCATCAGATTATCTCGAATAAAATATCATCTTCACTTCAGATCATGAGTTTTGTCAATGATACACAGCGAAATAGAAATACAAATGACTACATATACTTTAATCAAAGTAACGTTAACTATACTCTTTTACAAATCGAACAATCCCTGATAAATCAATCAATTGAGCCATGGACATGCAATCGAGGAGTAGCAGTCACAAGACGAATTAATAATTCTTCAAATCCAATCATTGAATGTTTTTGTCCACCAAGTTATTTTGGACGATTTTGTCAATATTATAGCGATCGTATAACAATTATTACACATTTAGATGGTTTAAAATATATTTATAAAGATCCTCAACAGTTACTGAATATTACAATCAAAGTATTAGCTACGTTCATTCATAACGAAAGTGATATTATTGATCATAATGAAATTCATTTTGCACCAGTATTAAACAATTTACAAGAAAAACAAAAGTTTTATTTTGTTTATCCAAGACCAAGAACATTATCTCGAAATCGTCTTTATAAAATACGCTTTGAAGCATTTGAACTAAATATGAATACCACTATTCGATTATTAGCTATTTGGGAATATTCAATTGATTTTAATTTTCTTCCATCATTTCGTATAGCAAAAATATTAAAATTTCAACAAAAACAAGAACAACAAACTCACCATATTTGTGAAATAAATCCCTGTCAAAATAATGGTACTTGTTATCCTATAATGAACAACAGTGATTCAACTATGTATTTTTGTTATTGTGTCAATAATTCATATGGAAAAAATTGTGAACATATTGATGACTCTAGTTGTTCAATATGCTCATCGAATTCTTTATGTCGACCACATTATCATAATACTGATGATCCATTATGTTTATGTCCAATAAATCGTTTCGGTCCAACGTGTCATTTAGAAAGAAAATGTGATATGTTTAATAATAAGAATCCCTGTTTAAATGGAGGATCATGTTCTGTCAAATATGATCAAGATGCTTTAATAAGAGATTATGTTTGTATTTGTCAAGCCATGTATTATGGTGACCATTGTCAATATCTGCCTAGCCGAATTAATATACAATATTTGATCAATGATATTAATCTTCATTCGACTCTTGCATCTGTCATTCAACTTTATAATTATGATTTTCTAACATTAGATTTGATTTTAGAACAACAACAAGTTTATGAAGGTGAACCAACGTATTCAAATATTATCTATTCTGGACAATTGTTACCAAGTCTTGGTTTCCTTAAAGTATATTATCATGATAAACAACATCCAATAACACTAAATGTCAAATACTTTATTTTATATAGTCGAAAAGATGAAAGAAATATTAGTTTAACAGTTACTTTAAACATGAACAATTCTTGTCCGCATACACATTTATTATTTTTTTCCAATGTGTCACAAACAGAATATCTACTACCAAGTAAGTCCATTTTAGTTAATGAGTTTCTAAAACGAAATAATTGCAGCAGTACTCAAACCAAAAAGCTCTTTACACACGCTAAGATAAACGCATTCTAATCATACGCATATGATAATGAAAGCCTGTGTAAGTTGCAAGCATAGTTTGACTGTTGAAATAAAAACTAAATGTCGTTCATGGACTCAGCTGCTAAACATGTTTTCTTACTGTATATCAAAAAAGAAGTGATTATCATATATAGCTCAAACATTTAAAAGCTTTTATTTTGTTTATATTTGAAGATATTAGTGTTTCAAATGAAATGTATTGGAAATTGAATACATCAACAATAGTGTTTACATATCATAGTTTATGCCAAAATAAATTCTTTTCATTACTGTGTTTTCATGACGATAATTATCTTTGTTTATGCGATACAAATAAAAGGGCTGGATGTTTTCGTTATAATCGCACAATAGATTCATGCCGACATTGTTTACTGGACAGTCCGTGTATTCAAGGAGATATAAATGTCGAATCTGATTTCTTATGCTTATGCCCAGAATGTCATTTTGGTTCAATATGTCAACACAATACGCGTTTATTAAGTTTTACATTGGACTCACTATTTGCTAATGATATATTTTCTAACTCAATTTCAACTCAAAATTTATTTATTGCTCTTTATCTTCTAATACTCATCATCGTATTATTATTTGGTTTCTTCAATAATATATGCTGTTTTGTAACGTTTCGTCGTTCAAAACCACGAGAAGGTTCATAACTACTCAGTTTAATATACATTTTAAGCATCTCTATAATGTCGAGTCTGCATGTATCTGTTACCAGATCACAGTCAAATATTATACTTATTAGAATTTTTCGAAAGTGTTCTCGCAGGCTATATGAAGTGGGTCGAGGGTGTCAGAATCAATCTGAAACTCAGAACCAAATGGATACAGTCAATGTGAAGATCATTAGATAGAATCATGATCAAAGCACTAGTGACGGCATAGGCAGAGAGCACCATAACCAGTGTGAATGGAAGTAATTTTATAGATGAAGACACAGTTTTATTTTAAATGTGAGATCTAATTACAAAGACTGATGAATCCAGATTTTAGAACTAGGCCTTTATTAATTATCTAGATAGCTGTATATCTCAAACCCTCAAAAACCCTTTCAAATTTTTCAAGATTCTTTTTTTTCTGAAAAGTATAGGCCTAATTCGAAAGTTGGCTCCCACCATTCCACGCAGAATTTCATGATCTTTCGATTAAAATAACTTATTTTGAAAGAAAATGCTGTGCATTGTTAAATCCATCGAGGACGTATGGGAAAATGCTTATAAAGTTTTGACGTAACGTTCTTTTTTTAAATCAAAAAAGTCTGCTCTACAAATCATAAAAAGATTTAACTACATAAATATCCAGGAAAAAAGAATTATTTGATGGCCTCGATTTTCAAGGCTCGACGAAACCTTGTTCGAACATTATAAATTCTGAAAGGAGGAACTATCTTCACTATGCCGTTAAAATATAAAATGCCACCATATTAATTATTCTAACTGATTTTAAGTTCTTATCTAACACAAATATTAGCTTTGTGATTTCTTCTTATAGTTGGTGTAGGCTATTATTTGTTCATCAATAGTATAACAAATCAAGGATCAATTCTATTTTTATTGATAAAAATGGTTCATTTTTTATTAAGTACAAAAGATTTAATAATAAATTATACAGTGAACATGATTTTATGCAAATCTGTTACTTTTCTTTTATCATGTTTTACTCGCCTATGCTTTTGGTTAACTGCTTTTGTATCAGATGAACGTGTCTGTGTCACCATATATCCAAGTGGTATTTCGATTAAAAAACCTAAAGTAGCCATTATTATAACTATTTCCACAATACTGTTTATATTAGGTTTACACGCTCATGAACTCATTTATTACAATGTTGTTCCTGATCCAAAATATACAAAAAGCGGGACATGGTGTGTTACACAATATGATAAACAAGTGTCATTTTATAACCAAGCAATAACAATTTTCAATTATATAATACCATGTCTAATTAATTTTGTTTCAGCACTTATTCTCATTCTAGTTGTTGCACGCAAACATGCTAATACAAATCAGCAAAAATCTTATATTAAAGTGTTTCAACAACAACTTCAACACTACAAAGAATTATTTATTCCATCAGTTTTTATCATTTTAAGTGCATTACCTCAATTTATTATATCATTTAGTTTAGCATGCACAGAATTTTTAGATATTCCATGGCAACGTTATTTAGTAATAACAGCGTATTTTTTATCATATTTACCTCAGATGACCAATTATATTCTATTTATATTACCATCTGTTTTATACAAAACAGAATTTGATTGTACATTATTAGGACAACAGTTGAAAAAGTTTAAAAAGCAATTCTACACCAGACTTGGTAAAAAGCTGTAAATATATTCTGTTTGGAAAAGACAAAAAAACTATCGCATCATTATCTTGATGAATGTTAGAAATACTAACATAGGCAACCATTTTGTAACAATGAAATGCATAGTTCTTTCATGATTTCGTTGTAATCATTATAATTCATTGATAAACCAAAAACTAGAATCTAACACTGGTTTTAGCTTTTAACTTCGGCTTTGTTCATGATAACTTTTACTGCTTTTCTTTCTTTCACCTCAATAAAATTGCGTGATTCATACAGAATTATGGAACTCCATTTGTCTTTCTTTCAATACATTGAAATGTTATTACGGAATTACTTGGAGTGATGTTCTAATTATATATTCTCAACTGTGATAACGTGAAGGTTACAGAAAGGCAGTCTGACAATTTTAAATCCATTAGACGAATTAGTTGCTCTTCCAATTCATTCATGCTTTTCTAATTTTACATGAAATACAGGCAAAAGTATGTTATTTTACCTGATTACGCTTGCACTAACTGCTTGAACTTTTTTCGAAAAACCGATATTGTCATGAGATTCAACAAGCTTGAAAATCTACATTTCAAGTGCTTTTGCGTTTTCGAGAGTCAAGCCCTAGCCGATAGGTAACTCTCATGTAAATTTCAAACGCACTGAGAATGCGTCTAAACGTGTGTTTTGGAGAGGGTGTGGGTGTTGGTGTGATTAATAGAAAAACTATACTAAAACACACACCCACACCCCAGTTCCTTATTGCTTTATTCATTGCAGTCAGATTCTTCTATATGACAGTTGAGGAGCTCATATCATCTTTATAAATCGATGTGTTCAATTCGATTCAGAAAAGAAAGCTTAATTTTGTGCAAGCAATCTTATCAGAAAAAGAACTTAAGGGTATGGGTGTGGAGTATTGGTGAAGAGAAGACCCTCAACCACACTTACACCATTTTCACATATGCAAACTTCAATGCCACCTGTAAGAAAACCCGGATTTTTTTAGGATCTGCTGCCTTAATGTTCTAGTCTCACGTATATAACTAATAGAACGAAACTAATTGTGGAAGAGCTTTGATGTATAGAAAATGGTGCTGCAATAAGTCAGTCACAAACAATCTGTAGAAACGTTCATAAATGATCTATAAACGATCTTGAAGAATAGTAATACAAATGATTTAGAACATTTGACATTGATATCGCCGATAGTCCGACAAGGTTAGTGAAAAAACTAATGAAAATTTCCAGTAGAATGTGCATGGCATAATGAATAAATGTACATAAGTAGTAACATTAATTGGGCAAGATATCACCACGTGTGCATCACTATCATAACCACTGTGTGAGAGTATGAATTCAATGAGTTGGAAAGATAAACAACCTTCGACTGATATATAGGTTTTCACTTTTAGAAAACATCAGTATTCTTGCCAAAGATTTTCAAAACATTACTTTCATTTGTCATCTTGTTCGATAAATTCTTTTAGGAAGAAAAGTATCATAACCAACTATTGCTTGAGCGAACACTACATAAATGTGTCTACCAAGATACTCGAACCTCCAATTCTTCTTTTTTGAAATAAAAGTTAGGTTTCAACGGAATTTATAAGAGATAAGTATGTTAGCACATAATCATTCCTCAATACACATGCATAATTCTGCAAGAGAAGCATTATTTATTCTACCTATCTCTCGAAGTCTATAGTCAAAGAGCACATCTAGTTTTCCAATGTTTAATTCAAAATTTATCATAGCTTACGTGTGATAGAACATCGTCATGTCACCTATCATTTAATAGATTATTGGAATATCATGTACCATAAAAATAGTCTATTCAAAATCTTTCCATGGTTCCGTATTGAATTCGTTTGAAACATTGAGCCTACTGTTCTTCAACTCATCTGCTAACGTAATTGATTTCTCTTTAAGAACAGCTGTTCATATATACTTTCAATTGTTTTTCTGTGTGGGGATAGGGTGTGGGCGTGTACGGGTATGAGTATGGATGTGGGTGTGGGTGGATGTGGGTGTGGGTTGGTGTGAGTGTGGTGTGGGTTGGTGTGAGTGTGGTGTGGGTGTGAGTGTGGGTATTTATTCTCTTCATTCACACCCGCACCCCACACCCACACACCCACACCCACCCACAGACACACCCACACGCCACATCCACCCACACCCACACCCACACTCACACCCTACTGAATAATTTCGAACAAGCCCTAACAGTTATTGTTCTTTTGATTATATCGTTATTGAATAGAAGTTTATCCAAACAAATACTACACTTAAAACTTTTCTAGATGATATTGTGTATCATAAAGAGTTTGTTGCGATTTTGTGTTTGTAGAATATGAGATGATGTGCTCATATGATAAGAATTATATTCTTGTGTTGATAACAATGTTTCTCATTTAACTGCTTTGACGGTAGTCTTTATCTCTATTTTGTAGGCAAATATACGCTTTGCTTTATTAATAACGTGACACGATAGTATCGAAAAGTGAATGTTTAACAAGAAGAATCTTCTTCTAAATTTTTTTCAAGCACTTGAGAATGGTTTTTGTTGTTGTTGTGGTAACTTCTAGACGTCTCGGTTGTTGTGATTCTATTTATGTTCTGTCAACACTGTTACTAAAAATGTTGCACATCAGGAGCAATTCTCATAACTATAAAAATCAGGAAAATGATGTCTCTGAATGAATGTGCATGTAGGGAAACCTTTAGATGTCAACTACCTTGGCGAATAAATCCAAAACTAACTTCGTGATTGATTGAAGCATTACTGAAGAAAATGGTGTGGATGTGACTGACTGTCATAAACAAAAGTTTCACATTCATACTGATCTTCTGATACACGTCCAGATCCACAATCCACCATAAATTACAGTAGCAAGACAAAGTCATGCACCGACAATTATTAGCTTCTGTACCTTTAAAAGCTATTCATTGAATTTTATTTAAATAATTGATTCTAAAACAAAATTATCTTTCACTCAGAAAATGGATTTGAAAATCACTACATGTGAACTCCTGGATTCCAAAAACTTTTCCTTTGTGATTCGTTAGGGGAAAGGCGAAATTAGCTGAAAAAAAAGTAGATACGATGGTTCTATAAAAAAAACGAATGAACATACTTCAGTTGAGGTGGGTGAGGGTGTGTAGCAGTGTGTTTCTATTTACACCCACACCCAAATTTGAGTAATTCAAAAACGAATATATTCACTTTGTTTTTTTATTTTTATTTTTAATTTATAACAAAATAGTCGTGATTTATTATTGATCGATTAGCATAGTTCAATAAAGGTTGATTTCATTGAAAAATATATTAGATCATTATCAACATCATCAAATTTTATTCTTAATCAATTATCCAAGAAAAGTAGAATGATTGAATATTTGCTGATTGATCATTCCATTTCATTCGTGAAAATAATCCTTCTGTTGTCCATATCAGAGATGAGTGGTCATGGACATTTTTTGAATAACTTTTGATAGAAACAACATAGAAACCTGCGATTTTCATTATTGGAAAGAACAGATGAAGATGCATCGATTCATATATATAGAAACACTTTTCTAATGATTTTCGTATAAAAATAATGGACAAACCTAATTTTTTTTTGCAAAAAAGATAAGCTGATAAATTGAAATCTGATGGTTTGGGTATTTCAGTGATAGTAGTTAGAAATAGAATTTTGTAGCTGTATGCTTGTCGGTTCTATCGCACTACTGAAAATCAATGAATTAATATTGTGATCATGAGAGGCATGATCTTTTCATTGAAATTTTGTGTAACATCGTTAGAAAAGTCTTTATCTACATCGTTCGATGCTTCTTCATCTGCTCTTTCGAACGGCGAAAGCCACAAATCTCTATTTCATTCCTATCAAAACTTATTTAAACAAAGCCCGCGACCACTTATCTCTGAAATCGACTATAAAAATTGTAGTTTAAGTCTTCAAGAATGAAGTTTCACTTGCAATAAAACAAGGAAACTATAAATATATAGTTATAGAATAAGATGTAATCAAAGTAGAATCTGGAAATACATTGTCGATCCTACCTAAAGCAATTGAATTTCTAGAAATAGATCGATCAAAATTAAAGGGTGAAATATTACATAATTAACAGTAGATACACTTCATAGAATATTCATACCTTACGGCGTTGCATGCAGTTAGCTTAAGGAAAAGAAATGTTAAAAAAATCTATGCTTTTTTATATTGAAATAGCTGTTGTCATTCGTTTCTTTTATTTTTACTAAGAACTCCATTTTATCATGTACTAGCGGAGGTACCCGGCGTTGCCCGGGAAATTTGATAGTAGATTCTTGACACAGTAGAGGGTTTTAAAAAATCTATCTGTACTGAAACACAGTTTTATTATAAAGCAGATTGATACACAATGTTTTTAGTTTTCGAATCAGGAACAAAGACGTACAAATTTTTTCCAGTTTCAACTTTTGAACATGCCAGGTAAAGTTGACCGTGAGAAAAGCAAGGAATTTCTAGGTTAATGCCGGCAATATTAAGAGACTGTCCTTGAGCTTTGTTGATGGACATCGCGAAGACGAGACGAACTGGAAATTGTAGACGTTTGAATTCAAAAGGCATATCAGTAGGAACCATCGGTATTCGTGGTATGAATACATGCTCACTCTTTGTGCAGTCTGCCAAGATTATTTTTCTCATCATACAGTACAGATAGAGATTAGAGAATTTCCAGCTTTCACAACCTGGATGGCATTACATCCAATTACCTTTCTTTCCTAATCTGCCGCGCCAATCTACTCTCAATTTTTCTCTCGACTAAAGAGTACACGATGGAAATTTCGATGGCGCTAGTTATTACCGAAATCAAATGGACAAAGAACAGGTAGACAAACATTGTTATTTATATGAACAAAAGAAGATACGCGCTTGCATACCCTGTGCCCACATTCAGTGCTTAGATCCCTAAATCGAACTCATTGTCTATAGAATCTCTACATGACTTTTCTCCTAACAACCAAGGTTAATTAGCTGGGTTT